ATTTGATAAAGCATATTTCTTTAATTTGCATTGATTATTTCAGTTTAATATAAATAGGAATATATTTTATTATAAATTACAAATTATCATGTTTATTATTCTGTTTTCTTTTTACAGCCAATAAAATGTGGATATTGTGGGTGGTTACTTGATGGATCGATGAATAGTAGCTTGCTACAACATGATTGTTTAAAATATTATAATGAAGACAAACATTTTTTACATATTGATGACACACATACACACACACACAATAATGTTGCATCTATTAGTAAGTATCTGAAACCAATAATTATTTGTAATAATCAAATTCTATGATAAATGCACATAATGCACACTGATTAAAAGTTTTACTATCTATTTTATTAGTAATTTAATGTAAGTCAACTATACATATAATTATTTATGTGTATATGTATATACATACATATTTCATGTTTACAGTTGAAGAAGATCAGTCAACAAACATTCAAGCAAGTAATCTTAGTGATTATAATGAAGCACTTGTTAATGCTGTGTATTCTAGACCTGCATTATACGACTATCGTATACCAATAAAAGAAAGGACAAGTCTAAAAAAAAGGCATTATGGGAAGAAGTCGCAAATTTAATGGGAGGTAATTTTTACAAGTTACATAATATACAGGGTGTCATCAACGATTGGCCCCACTCGTCTTGAACAGGTAGAGCGGACTAAACTGAGTCGAAAAATCCTCTACCATTTAGCAATGCTCGCAATAGTTAATGAGATATTAATGATTAAAGAAAGCCGAATACGCGCGTTCGCCCAACCTACTATTGCCGAAGGTACAGCCCACCGAGCACACGGCGCGCGGGTAGAACAAGCACGCTGCAAGCCTCTGAGCTCAGTTTCGTCCGCTCTACCTGTTCAAGACGAGTGGGGCCAACCGTTAATGATACCCTGTATATATAATAGTATATTAAATATTAAATCTCATAAGACCGTACTTATGAGAATACAACCAATAAGAAATATGATTAAAGGCCTATATCAGTCGAAACTAGATCTTTGTTGCTTAAATAATTCAAGGCTTTAGTACTATTCTTTGCAATTAAAATATGTAGAAATGTCTTTTCAGAAAATGAAAATATAGATACGTATTTTAAGTTTGATGATCTCTTTTATAAACAAATTTTTGGATTGCCAATGGGCTCACCGTTATCACCAATTTTAACTGATCTAGTGATTCAAGATCTTGAAAATGACATCATTGGAGATTTGAATATTCCGGTTCCTTTATATTTTAGATATGTAGATGACATTTTACTCGCTTTACCTCAAAATAAGGTTGAAGAAGTACTAAATCGATTTAACAACTATCACACTAGAATAAAATTTACTTTAGATATGGGTATTAATGATTCTGTAAACTTTTTGGATGTGTCTGTGATGTTAATAAAAGGGCATATCAGATTTAATTATTATAAAAAACCGACTAACTCTGGGCGCTATTTAAATTATAAATCGTGTCATCCAGAACAACATAAAAAAAGGAATGATTATAGGTTTATTGGATAGAATTCTTTTTTTGTCACATCCGGAGTATCATGAGCAGAATATCAGAGATTTGATTAATGTATTACTCAAGAATGGTTATCCGTTAAATATTATTTTTTCCACTATTAATTTAAGAATTAAAAAATTATCTAAAAGAAGAAATATTTATGTAAATAATATGTTTTCAGAAAATGATACTGATGTCTGTAACGAAAGAAAGTTTTTCACAATTCCATATATCGACAAAATTTCTGAGAAATTCTACAGTATAGCTAATAAAATTAATCAGAGAGTAGCTTATAAATCTGTTAATTTAAATTCTGTAATAAAATTAGGTAAAGACAGATTGAAGATAATGGATAACACAGGTGTTGTATATAAAATAGATTGCCTTAATGTGAAGCGTCTTATGTAGGACAGACGAAACGGAAAAAAAGTCGGTACCCGTATTAAAGAACATCAATATGACATTAAAAAACATAAAGAAACGGATTCTGTTCTTGCAGAAATCATATGAAAAGTGGTCACAGTTTCAATTGGGAAGATGTGAAAATTTTAGATAAAGAACCTTATCTTTCGAAACGGTTGACTTCAGAAATGATATATATAAAAAAACAGACAAATGGCCTAAATAAGCAAATAGATACACAGAATTTTCCGGAATCATATGTATCCTTACTAAATATAAAATAACAAAATCTTGTAATATTAGTCTTTGCGTCTGCGCAAGTAACTCATATAAATAAGGCATAGCATAACAACTGTAACAGTCACATTTTTGTTTTCTTAGAACGATCTTGTCCTCTCAAGTATAATGTTTAAAAATTTTTGTGAAAATTTGGTCACATAGTGAAATCTGATCGAGGTTTGAAGATTGAACGCAGGTAATTTCGAAGTTTTTTAATAACCACAAATTGATGCTTCTAATTTTAACGTATAATGACTTTTTCTCACATTTAATTAGTATTGACTAATGTTTCTAAAGTTAATTATTGAAATGTTGAGAATTGAAATTGACTGATAATAAGAATCTTTTTATAACATAGTTACCTTTTTTCCTGTTTTATTAGTATCTGGAAATGGTGCATTCAGTCATTAAACTCATAAAGTTATTACGGATCGAAAAGACATATTACTGTTATTTACACAGAATATATGAGGTATGGTATTATATTAATAATTATATAGAAATGATTGTTAGATTGTTAGATTGATAATTTTTGGTTCTGAATAGATAACTAACATCACCACTGACGCCATAATAATTTCGAACAAGTTGAGAAAGAATATTGATTAACGTCGGTAATCCAATCACGACCGTAACATTGTAAATTTAGATTTTAGACAAAGAATTTTTGTATTATGTAATGCGTTTTCATTAATTTGTATGAAATTTTTTTGTTTTTGGCATTATTGAAAATGGTGACAGACCGAAACGTCTTTTTATTATGAAATACATATATATTATAATAAATAATCTGTTCGCTAATTTTATCCAGCGCACGTGGAAGAAGCCTTGTTTAAAACGTTCAAAATGAAAATATAGAATTTGTTCAAAAACGCTGGAAACAACTTCGCGACAGTTATGTTAAAGCGAAAAAAAAAGAAAACGCATACATACCGAGTGGGTCTTCTGGAAATGTAAAAAATGACGAGATATCTTTTACTTTGTACAACCAGATGAAATTCTTAAATGACTTAATAGGAAAGTCGCCGTAAGTATTATTTGTGTAAACAGTTTTTTCAAATAAACATCAAACATATCATCTGTTGAATGTCACTTTCTGTTTCTTAGCGAAGAGCTCTTTTCCTCCTTCCCAATAAATAACAAAGAATTGAAACGGATTGAAAAAATTCTTTCTTATTTTTGTCTACAATATTTCAAATAAAAAATATGAATATTGAAAAGAATTAAATTAATATTATCTGTCAGATTCGATTCATTTTTGTTTCTTGATTTAAGTATAAGATTGAAAAAAAAGAGGAAATTTATTACAATTATAAATTGATTTAAACTAAATGTATATACAACCATGGGCATTAGGAGTCACCGCTAGATATTTATTGCGTAATATCTGATATTTATAAAATCTATAATTACAATAATTTGGACGTTTCGGCTAACAATTTTGAGCCATCCTCAGCAATAATAATTATCGCTAATCATCCGTATTGTCGAGCTGCATCTCGCACAATCGCAGCTCCGACCATACTACAATTGTATTGGAAATGTGGTGAGAGACAACCATCTTCAACATAGTTAATGTTGTGCCATCCAGTCATGGCTTGGTTGTCTCTCACCATATTTCCAATACAATTGTAGTATGGTCGGAGCTGCGATTGTGTGAGATGCAGCTCGACAATACGAATGATTAGCGGTAATTATTATTGCTGAGGATGGCTCAAAATTGTTAGCCGAAACGTCCAAATTATTGTAATTATAGATTTTATAAATATCAGATAATATTACGCAATAAATATCTAGCGGTGACTCTTAATGCCCATGGTTGTATATACATTTAGTTTAATATTTTGAGGAGTCCATTGATTGTATTTTTCTTTAAGTCTTTTTATAAATTGATTTGTTTAAAACTACAGCACAGTCACTAGTTTACCGTCATTACCGGCAGATATCGATGAATGTCCAATACAACCGACAATCAGTACTACTCAAAGGGTTCCACCATCTCGAAGTTCATCAGATTCTGTCTCGTCAGATAGCTGGGTTAACATATCTGATGAATTAGTAAGTGATAACTCTTTCTTATCAAAGGCGCAATCATCAAAGAAAAGAAGTTAATTTTTATTATTTTTCTAATATTTTTTTTAGTGTAACTATAATTTTTAATTTTGAAAAAGACATGTTTTTATATTTCAGAAATGAAAGAATTCGATGATATCTCAGAAACTGAAATAAGAAGAGTAATTTTATCAAACATTGAACAATCAAAAAAGACGCCTGACGCTGTTGACGGTTTCCTTCTTCAAATAGGAAGTAGATTACAGGCATTGCCACCACGGGAGAGATTACAATTGGAAATAAAAATATTAACCGATCTTTTTAATTTAGAAAGTTCTTTAACTTCATTAACTTGTGCTTTTTATGTTACATTTTATATACGTTAAAATAATATATGATAAAATAATGTATGTAATAAACATAATATAAAGCAATATACATATATTATAACACGAAATAATAAAAGTTTTATAAAGTTAAAAGTTATTTTGCATAGCTTTGTCCCATTGATAAGATAATGCGCCATTTCCGTTAAAGAATGCAGTATATGCGTTTCGAACTTTGACTCCACTTTGAGATGTCCTTCCTCGACAAATTGGTAAGGAGCAAAACCCTTCGGAAATCGTTGAATGATCCCTGTCATTAGTAATATGCGTATGTCTATGTTGTAACTGCATTTTTTCTTCATTATTAATAATAAAATTGTGCAATACTATTGTTGCTTGCACAATTTTCTTCGCATTAGCAACACTTGATGTTATTGGCTTTCTGTAGATTCTCCATCTTTCCGCTAATATCCCGAAAGCACTTTCTACTACTCTTCTTGCTCGACTGAGTCTGTAATTAAATACTTTTTTTGATAGATTTAGTTTGCCACTCCGAGGATATGGCCTCATCATAAAATTTGTCAAAGGAAAGGCCTCATCTGCTAGCAGTACATAAGGAAGAGCTGGTCCATCAATCTCAACTGGTTTAGGATTTGGCAACTTTAATGAAGCACTTTCGAAATAATGTCCAATAAGACTATTCCGAAAAACTCCTCCGTCACTTTGTCTGCCTTCACCTCCGATGTCGACAATAATAAAGCGATATTTAACATCGCTAATTGCTAGGAGATTGATACTATGATTTCCTTTATAGTTAAAATATGTCGAATCGGAATTCGGTGGAGCCTGCAATAAAATACATTTGTGTGCAATATATTAATGATGTAAAATACATATGTTTGTAGGTAGTTTTAATTAGTTATAATTAGTTTTTAATTTTAATTTCAATTATATGAGTTATTCATATATCACCTGTAAGATTACGTGTTTTCCATCGATGGCTCCGATACAATTGGGAAAATTCCAAAGCCGTTCAAAATCATTGGCTACATTTTGCCAACTGTTTTCATCATTTTTTATAAAAACGGTATCTTTCAAATATTCCCAAATGACTTCGCAAGTCTCTGACACTATTTTAGAGATGGTATTGTGTCCAACACGGAAGGCATACGATAATGATCGCATACTACCTCCTGATGCCAAGTATCTGAGGGTTATATGCAATCTTGTTTCAGGTGAAATAACTTCTCGAACTACAGATTGTTTAGTAATCGATGGTCTGATCAATTGTAATAATTTTTCGAAAAGTGCTGGTTCCATTCAGAAATAATTAACAAATTTTTCACGATCTTGTTGCTCCAGTTCATTAACGAGATTATTGCTTGCTCCTTGTGCTAACCGTCGTTCAATAGTAAATATTGGACTGACCCGATATTTTCGTTTTCTTCTATTAATAGTTTTTTTCTCACTTTTTCTTAATATAGAATAAAGCTCATATGTTTTAATAATTTTATGATATATTTCCTGCTTGATGAAAGCATTATGGTTGTGGTCTAGACGTTTTGTTAATAATAACAGTAAAAGCAATATTGTTTTTGATTTCATTCTACACTTGTTAAACCATTGCGAATTTTTTAATTTAATAAATAATAATAAGGCTCTGTAAGTACAAAACAAAATAGAATAATTGAAGGGCTAAGAGCCAGTTATGTAATAAAGAACATTTAAAAAAGACAATTAAAATGATCATGATTATAACGCTTCATTTCAACGGCATATATAAAAAAAAATAAATAATAAAAGACTCTGTAAGTATAAAACAAAATGAAATGTTATAATCATGATTATTTTAATTATCTTTATGTTTTAAATTAAACGTTCTTTATTACATAACTGACTCTTATAAAAAATTTAATTATATTAAATAAATTAATATTTAATAAAATTTACTTACACAATATGGTTATACTTTTTGCGGCTATCCTCTTTCTTCTGTGGTTTCTCATTGTCAGTAATTCGCCCGCAAAAGTCAGTTTTGTTCCGCTGTTTTCGATACGCGATAATTTCGTTCCTATGATCCCATGAAGCGGAATTAACGTAAACGGATCGGCGGTTTACCAATCATATAACTGTTTAGATGAAGGCAAATAAAGAAAAGTAACGAAACTCGTTTTATGATTGACTATCCGCCTGATCCGTTTACGCTAATTCCGCTCCATGGGACCATAGGAACGAAACTTTCGCGCATCAAAAACAGCGGAACGTCCGCGATTGGTCAGATTTTCGATACGCGCGATCCGCGATACGCGCGATACGCTCCATTGGACTGCACCCTCACAATTTAAGTGTAAACGCACAAATTTCAGATTAAAAAATTTGGGTTACACTTATTTGAGTATAAACACTGAAATTTTCAGAGTTTTTTCCGTAAGGGACGGTACTTATTTCATAATTTATTAATTTTGTAGATATGTACATATGTTTAAAATTTAATTAATAATACTAGATTTTTATTTAAAACTGTGATTTTAATGATATCATCCGAGTTTGATTATCAATAGAGCCCAGATAGCAAAATACCTCCACGGTATTGGTACGGTGAGTGTACGTATTATGTGTACCGGTACCGTGTACCTGTTACGTACGTGCGTATTTAAAGCTTACAGTACCGGTACACTGTATTTTTGGTACGCCGATAATGTACGTCTTAGGTACGCATGTTACCAAAATTAATTAATTTTATAGTTTTATTGCTAAATGAGTATTATTACCCAGATAACTAAGCGTGCGATATCCCATGATATCAGCACAAAATACACGGAGAGAATTTTCTTTTAAAATTTACCGTGAAAATATGATGTTTGTGGTACAATACAATATTTTGAAGATTTTTACCATGCACTTCAGTAAAATTGATCAAACTTATTTTATACTTTATTGTAGTTTTATTAATAAATGAGAGAGATTTATATTAAAATTCTTCGAAATACAATATTGTTCCA